AACCGCGGGGGGCGCGCGGTGCTGGGGGCTGGACCCCAGCCCCGGCCACGGAAGGGGCTGCCCAGGAGGCGCGGGGTCGGTGGGCGTCCGGCTGCGCAGCCGGGGGCTCCCTGGGGGCCGCCCCCCGAAAGTCTCCCGCTGCCCCCCTCCCGAAGGTTCCCCCACCCCACCCGTGGCGCCGACGCAAGGGCCGGAGCGCAGGTGTCCGGCGAGCCCGGAGCGCCCTCTGCCGGCTGCAGCTCCGGGGACCGGTGCCCACGCGCTGGGCCTCCCCCACCACTCCCGCGGGCCTGCGGGCCCCCTCAAACCTCCCCCTCCACAGCAGAGCGCCCAGACTGGTGCCCCAGAACACCCTCTTCCCCTCACACCCCATCCACCCATCATCCATCTGTCCAAAGGACGAGTTAAGGCCCATGCTAGGCGCTGGGTTGCACTAATGGGGCCGGTGGGGGTGGGGGGTGGTGTCCTTGGCCTCCTGGAACCTAGATCCAAGGGAGCAGATACTGGAGGGATTCCACAGATACATGAACCATTAATACTGAACTGCCACGAAACTTGGGCCACGAACAGGGGATTGCCCTGGTGGCTACAGAGGGGCTCGTGTCAGAGGAGGCCGCCTGGAGGAAGCGATCCTTAGGTTGAGAGAGTGGAAGGGCTGGGCAGGAGACCAGCCCCTGCAAAGGCCCTGTGGCAGGTGCAAGGATGGGGAGCATGAGGGCCTGAAAAGAGATAGCGTGGCTGGGAGGGAGCGTGGGAGAGGGGCAGGGACTAGGCTGGAGGGGTGGGCAGGGGCTGTGAAAGCCTCCCCAGCCTACCATTCCCCCCCATCACTTTCCTAACACAGCTGTGCCCCTTCTTGCGGCACCATCCCACCTGCCACATGGCCCTGTGCTCCGCCCCCCTCCGCCCCAGGCACCCAGCCCCCTCCCCACCCACAGAATCCTCAGACACATGAGTGGAGGCAGACACTGGGTTTAATTAGGACCTGATTCTGAAGGAGCAGGGCCTGGAGTCCTCTTGGCTCAGTGCTCAGCTGGCCCGGGTGACCGCAATTCATACCAGCAACTTTCACCCCAAATCACAGCCCACCCTGGCCTGCAGCCTCTGTTCCCACTCTGGGCACCAGTCCCAGCCCAGGCAGCCTGGGTTCCCCACTCCTCTTCATCAGAGAGGCCTGTTGCATGGGCTCACGGCCCCTCCTGTCTCCTGCCAGGAGAGGCCCCCTTCCCTCACTGGGGTGTCCAGCGGGGCTGTAGGAATCTCCCTTCCTCTTTAGGGCCTGGGTACGAGGAGGCCAGGCCAGGTGCTAGGGCGGCTGCCGGGCCTCCTTCCTCAGCAGGGAGCTGGCCACCGCCAGGGCCCCACCCTGCACGAACCGCACAAAATTGTCCCCCACCAGCGGCCCCACAGCGTACAGACCCTCCTGGTGGGTGCTCTGGTAAGTGAAAGGGTCCACATCGATGGGGTTCCTTTTGGCGCTCAGGGGCTGGTCGGGGTCCATGGCCAGGTTCGCACCTGCCCCGGGGAGGAAGGAGAGGTCGGGGTGGGAGCCGATGAGCACCAGCACCAGGGCCACGCCGAAGACCTTCTGGAGGCCCTTGGGGTCCTGGAACACGGCCTGGCGGTCCTCCTTGAGGAGCAGCAACTGGTGCTCGGGGAGGCTGCGGTAGCCCTCGTAGGGGCTGGGCGACAGGATGGACTGCTCCCGCATCATCTGGTGCACCTTGTGGTACTCGGGGTACAGCATCTTGGGCAGCTGGTTGAAGACCAGGCCGGGGTCGTGCACGGGCCGGCGGAAGGCGTGGATCACGGGGATGCTGTAGTGGCGGGCGTAGAGGACTGCGTCGGCGGCCGACAGCCCCGCGCCCACGATGAGGACGGGGTCCGAGGCCGGGCTCACCGTGCCCGCCCGCGTGGCCGCCTCCAGGGCCGAGAGCTTGTAGTGGACGAAGGGCAGGGCCTCCCCGGGGATGCCCAGCCGGGCCGGGCTGTCCGACGTGCCCGTGGCCAGGACCACGTTGCGGGCGCACAGGGAGAAGGGCGGCCGGCTCTGGTCCTCGGTGGTCAGGAAGCCGCTCACCTGGAAGAGGGGGCCGGGGTGCCGGACCCCGGAGCCGCTGGACTCGGGCATCCCCCACTCCACGGCCGTGACCACGGCGCCGGACACGAAGTTGTGGCCCAGGCCCTTCTTGGTCACGTAGTCCCTGTAGTAGTGAGCGATGTCCCCAGCCGTGGCCCGGCTGTTGCGAAGACCTCTGAAGTGAAGGAGGTCGGGGGAGGGGGGAGGGCGTCAGAGAGCAGACCGGGGTGTGGGGGTGATCAGGTGCGACAGGGGCGACCAGGCTGGCGGCAGCGGGCCCTGGGGCTGGACTGTGGCTCTGCCTCCCCCTGCCGTGGGACTCGGTTTACCCCTCGGAGCCTCCAGCTCCTCGTGTGTAAAACGGAGCTGATTCGGGTACCTCCTCAGGGTGGGGGTGAGGGTGTGGTGGCCTGGGTTCAAATCCTGGCTCTGCTGCTGGGGAGCTATGTGCCTGAAACGCTCTGTGCCTCAGCTTCCTCATTTGTGCGACGGGGGTGATGGCCGTGACGTAACTATTTCCTGTGCTTGTTGAGAGGATCAGACGGTGGTGGTGTGAAATGGAACCTGCCAGGTAGTGAGTGGCAGGTGAGAGTCAGCCACCCGTCCTACCTCCCAGGACTAAATCCTAATCTATGGAAAGATGCTAGGATCCCATTCGTATCAAGTTCAGAAACAGGTAAAGCTGATGCATGGAGTTCGAGGCGAAGGAGTGGCTCCCCCGGGTGGGGGGCTGGGTGGGGGCGGCTGTGAGGAGGGCTCCTGGGGCCAGGGGATCTAGCTCTGATTCTGGGCAGCTGCAGTGCAGGTGTGAGCTCTTTGAGACATCCCAGCCACCTGCATGCGCTGGAGTGGTGCGCTCTTCCATAGGCAGGCTGTATTTCAATAAAACACATTAATTTAAAAATAACCCATGCCGAGACTTGGCAGAGTCCCCCGCACACACCGCGACGGCAGAGACTACTTTATTATCAGTGTCATTCCTCTTGTTTTCGCTTTCATTGCCACCCCTCCCAGGGCAATGACCGCAGGGCCAGTGTTGCCAGGGGGCTGAGCTACAGGCCTGGGCAAGCTCTTAGCTCCTCCCTCTACCGGTGTGACCTCAGTGGGTTATTTTCTCCCAACTGCGGACACGTGCTTAAGGAGGATCCTACTTGGGGCGCCTGGGTGGCGCAGTTGGTTGAGGGTCTGACTCTTGGTTTTGGCTCAGGTTCTGATGTCAGGATCCTGAGATCGAGCCTCATGTGCTTGTCCCTCTCCCCACTCTGCTCCTCCCCCCTCTCGTGCTCTCTCTCTCTCAAATTAAAAAAGATGGAGGATCCTCCGTGACAGCCAGCAGGACCAACAGCAGCGCCAGCTCACACCGCATCCCCCAAGGCCACGCCACGCAGCCCAGCTCGTCAGTCTGCTTCTGGAACTGGAACTCTGCGGTCTGTGTCCGTGAGTTTGTCACTTCCCTTCTCTGAGTAAAAACCTTTCCAGAGAACGGTCCTAAGATGTTACATACAAGGTTCCTTCTAAGGGCGGCTTGGAAAGAAGCGAAGCCCCAGGACTGGGCGGGGCTCCGGAGCCCTGGCAGCGCCCGGGGCGCAGGGGGCGTGGCCCCGCGTCCAGGAACAGACCGCGGAGAGCTGCTCGGTCGGGAATATTATGCAGCCTTGTAAAAGGACGGTTGCAAACACTGTCTCCCCCACCTGAGGTCCTTATGCCATAATATTAAATTTACAAGTAGGATATAAAAGGGTATGTCCCCAATTAAAAGTGCGGTTCCGGTCTCTCTGCTAACACATCACTCCACCAGCCTGGGTATCTTCCTACCAAATCCACAGGGACACACGGTCTTGGTGAAACTGAGTTGCTGGGCGGGGACGACAGGCCCCTGTCATGGCCCCCGGGGGTTGGAGGGAGCAGGGTGTCACACAAGGCCAGCCACCACGCAAGTGGCAATCCCCTATGTGCCCCCCCAGAGCACTGGGCAGCGTTCTGTCTCGATCCCCAGGACAAGCGGGGGCTGGAATTCATTTGGTCAGTGACTGAACTGTTCCCCCAGGCAGTCAGACAGGTGTCGTGTGGTCCTGATGGGGCAGGAAACAAGATGGGGAAACACCCCCAAATGGGAGAGCAACAGGTAGAGAGGCGGGGCGTTCGGCTGAGTTGTCTCCTTTTCTCTGTGTGGTTCTGTTTCTACTGCAAGAGCATTTTTTAAAAAGGAAGTGCATCCTATTAGCTGACCTTGGAGTAAAGAGATGATTCCAGGCCAGGCTTGAGTGGTGGGAAGGGCAGGAGGGAGGCCAGAGGCACAGGGCAGGGCCAGCTGCCACGCCCTCCTTAGAAGCTGGGATGCTCCCAGGGGCCATGTTGGGGGTGGGGGAAGGGGTGTTGTGCATCAGGTGGAAGGAGCACTGGCAAGG